GCAAAACTTAAAAATATACAAACTAGAAACGTGTTTGATAGAAATATGAATAATATTTTGTAAAGGCATTAAGAAGAATATTTTTTTCAAACAATACCTATCAAGAAAAGAAGGTATTTCACTTTAGCTTCAGTATAAAAAACACCACGATACATTCACTTTGATGCATGGTAGCATTTATTTATAAGCATAAAACTATATTAAAATTTCTGCAGTTATGAAAAATTTTCAAATGATTGTAAAGTTTATTCATCTCAACTGAAACCATCTTGTGCATTGATCCATTGCATTTTCATTTTTAATTGCTATAAACAATGGTTTAAATAAATGTTATCATCTGTGCTCCTTTATTTTTAATTTTTCTAATGAATCAGATGTTTGTAAATGGCTGGATGAATTTTTAATTTCTTTCAACTAAGGAGGCTTGGCACACACCAGGAGGTATAAAATGCCTATTTTCACAAAAAAAAATTTGATAATTCTGGTCAGTCATTGTTCACCAGGAAGATATTTAGAAATGATAAAATAAACTACTATCAAGAAAACTGAAATAATGGGTAAGGGCTGATATATAAACAAACACTTACTTTGCCATCTAAGCATTAATAAAAAATAAATAAATATACACATATATATGTGTAGACATTGAAACCAACACCTGATGACAGTATTTCATGCTTATACATAATCACCAGGCCATTATATATATATATATATATATATATATATATATATATATATATATACACACACTGAAATAAACAAACACTAAAATATTTGTTAATGATGCCATCAGGAAAAAGCTACACAAGATGTTTAAAGATATGGATTTTGACATCATAGTGGAAATCAACATTAAAGTAGCCCAGTTTTTGGATATAGAACTAAACCTGTTGACTGAAACCATCTCACCTTTCATAACACTTAATACACCTTTGAGATATGAAAATACGGCATCCAACCACCCATCAAGTGTGATTAGACATATCCCATTAGGTGTATAATGCAAATTGTCAAAAAATTCTTCCTTTGAAGAAATATTCAATGAAAAAAAGAAAATATATGTATTTGCTTTAAAAGTGGAGGGCCAATAATGTCAACCTGTGTCTCAAGGATCAAGCAGACCCAAGAATAGATAGCAATAGAAAAAGAAAAAGGAATGTTACCTGGTTCAACCCACCCTTCAACATGCAAATAAATACAAATATAGAAAAAAATGTTTTTTAGACTTCTAAAAAACACTTCCCAAAAGCATCCGGGCTGTACAAGTTATTTAACTGTAATACAGTCAAGTTGAGCTTCAGTTACACTAGCAACCGAGGCAATATTATCAAAAGATTGAACAACAAAAAACAAAATTCAAATCTTGAAGCGGACATGAGAGGTGGAAATAAGGTCCTTTGTAGTTGTAGGATAAAAAATAATTCTACAGAACAGGTAGTGTATTGTGCTGAGGTAGAAAGTGACAGTGGCAGTGCAAAAAACTACATTAAAAAGAGGTGCTATAACCATAACTCATCATTTAGAATACAAGTTTAGTACGAAGCTGGTGAACTACTATCGGAACTTTAGGGAAAAAAAAAAAAAAAAAAAAAAATGAAAGAAGCCCAGTTGCTAAGTAATTATTTTTAACTTAATGTAAAAATACTGAAAATGAGAAAATAACCAGTCAATTGTTGATACCTACTGAAGACATAACAATTACTAAAAGATCCATCTGCGAAACTGTGAAGTGGAATTGCTGAATATAACATCAACCAGCTAAGTGACAAATGCTGTAGTCGGAATGCGGAAGGTAGCATCAATCAGCTAAATGACTAAAATTTTACTTTATTTTTATATATATATTATATACACACACACACACACAGAGGGTGTTTGGGCTAAATTTGATAGTCTAATGTTTTTCTTTTTTCAAATTTGTTTGGAATATCTGCAAACTGAACAGCATTGTGAAATGTAGTCACTACAGTTTTAGACATGTCAAAGTTAACTAACATGGATGATTGGAAGTCACCTGAATATTGGAAAAGAGTAACCTGCATCATCATAATTCGTACCAGGTATCAAAATCTCACAATCATGACTCTTTGAGCATCATGAAAACAATAAGACATGAAATGAAGAGCTGCAATAGAGACTACAAGATTGTGGCTTACAGGAAAGAACACAGATGTTCTGATTGCATCCATACACTAGAATTCATTCAACAACTGCAGAAGAAAGTGATGAAAGACCTAGGCAAGGGAATGCACATTTGGGCACAGAAAATGGGTGATGCAATTTCCACCATGAAGCTGAACACTATAGTCAAACCTTGGCTAGAGAAGGTAGCTGCTGGAAGACCGTATGTGTGGCAACAAGCTTTTTGCCATAACTACAGGAAGAGTTAGAAGTGGTTGTCAGATAGTTTTTACAATTTCACCATCCCCAACATCTGGCCTCCTAACTCCTCTGATTATAATTTCATGGATTATTATATGTGTGGTATGGTTGAGAAAGACACCAACTGCACTGCCTGTAACACCAAGGCCTAGTTGATCAACAAGATTAAGGATGACTTTGAGGCTCTCCCTAGAGACACTGTGAAGGTCACATGTGCCAGATTCTGGCCATGGTAGATGCTGAGGGTGGCTTCTTTGAGTGAATTGACTATTATTATAACCTGTATTTCACTTGTCTATTTTTTTAATTGATTTTTGGCTTAGATATTCACTTTGTTTTCTGTTTTAAAGAACTACCAAATTTAGCCCAAACACACACACACACATATATATAATACATACATACATACATACACAACTAAAAAAAACAAGGATGTTGGTGCAGACAACAAACATCTTGCCAGACAACTTAAAACCTGAGATAAAAAAAATATCCTGAACAAGAAAAGAAAGACCAAAAGGTAAACACCTACCTATACAGTAAAATAATGTGCTCAGCACCCACACTACCCGGACAGAGCAAAGAATGCTTTATAAATGTAGCACAATTCATTTCTTAAGTTTTACACTTTTGCAATTTTCAGACAACTACAGATAGGTTCTAGTAGTCTGAAGATCATGAGAGTGTGAAACTCGAGTCATGACTCAAGCTGTCTTTTGCATGTAGATATCATATATATTGATTCCATTTCTAATAAGTAGACCATGTGATGGTAAAGGAAATGTATATATGGTAATTAGCATGGTGTCTAACTGATCACTCTTTCTATTCTATTCTATATACTATTCACTATACTATTTCTCTATATGGATCACTATTTGGTGGTTACTTTTCAAGCGAGTATTATCAAGCAAGTACTATTAGTGCAAATGTTATTCGAAAGTGTCTGACACCAGTATTGTTCAATGGCATTACTATAGTTGTATCTCCAATTACAAAGACTCTACTACAATGAGCATTATGAAAGTGACAAGTATTCATTGACATTACAAAAGTGGCAACAAATGTTCATTGACATCACAAAATAAATATATATTTGATCAAAGTGGATTTGAATATAAAAAATGTGTACAAAACAGAAAGGTATCATTAAATTCCCCCATGCAAAAAATTTTAAAAAAATTGTATACATTGACATTTGACAACACTTGCTAAATGTTTATAGAGACCAAATAATGGATGTAAACACAGCAAGTTAGTGAGAAATATTTCAGCAGTGGCAATACAAATATCTATGATAAGGCATGTTTACATTGATAAAAACATTGATGACAATTACATCTTGATAACATCATTGCTGTAAAAATGTGTAAAAATAGTGTTTTGTAGCTAAAAAATATGCTCTATCCAACGGTATGATTGTGTTCCCTTATCTGTTATAGTTTCCATGGAAATAAATAAAACTAAGAGGTATTTCTTTCAGAATGCACCTTATGTGTGCATACACAGTTCTCTTTTCTATGTGTGTGTGTGTACACAAGTACCAGAAACCACTATATATCCAGAGAAAAAAAATTGTCTATGATACTGTATGCAAATCAGCAAATGTTGATTCAAGAGCCACTAACCATACATTCCTGATTCTAAAGAAATCCATTGAGACTTATTGACTGTCACAGAGATGAATTATCTGAAATGATAGATTATACTGGAATTTCTTATAACCTAGCAAACAAATAGGAAGAAAACCTGAACCTGCCAGAAAGATGTTAACTGAGACTAGCTATTATATTTAAATGGCAGAAGCAGACAGCCAAAGGGCTTTGGGGAAGTCAGTTATCATCAATAAGGTATTGTATAGCATAATTTTTACTGAAAAACAATTACAGCAAAAATTATTCGGAGCCTATGCAATATTAGACACAAACATATATGTCAGGTGTTGTATTGTAGAAGACAAAGATGTTATGGAAAGTAATTAATGAAGCCTAAAATATTTATTTTATAGAAAAGTTTAACTGTTTATAACACTCTTTAGGAAATTTGGAAGAATGACTCAGTAAGATTGAATAATTACTGCCTACTGATTAATATGGTCAAACCAAAAATGAAATAATTACTTCTGCATGATTGTTAATATAACAGTATAAAGATAAATGGTATTACCATATTAGGTATACCATATGATAGTATACTTAATATGGTAATGGAGTTATTCAGAGATGTGCTATTTTTACTAGCAATTTAGAGTAAACAACTCAGAAATAAAAAATCCCGATTTTAAAATTCTAAGAAAAATTATTTAGCTCGCAGATAACGTTACACATTTTATTCAATATTTTAAGAAACACATCAGTGTTTCTTACAGACTAATCTTACATTTAATAATGAAAATTACAAAAAATTACAAAAATTTAAAAAACTCAGCAGTTAACTTGTTCATACTAAATCAACTCAACATGCTTGTCAAACTCATAATCACAAGTTTTATTAAAGAGAATAAAAATTACAACATTCCAAGCTCTGTCCAAACAAGTTAACTTCTTTGTGTCATCATTACAATGTTTCAGTCAATCCATTCCACAGCCTTCTTCAGATGTCCAAAGTATAGATAGTTAATGACATTTCTGAAAGTTACAGGGAGAAAGGAAAAAGAAACGGAAGGAGGGAAAGAAAAGAAATGGAAGGAGGGAAAGAAAAGAAACGGAAGGAGGGAAAGAAAAGAAACGGAAGGAGGGAAAGAAAAGAAACAGAAGAAAAAAGGAGAAGCAAAAGAAAGGAAAGTAAAACTCTTCACTTGAGCTACTTGTTTAGTAGTTGTAAAATCCACATAGGTATAAATGAGCAATGCTCACTGTGAGCAGTTATTTACAAAATGACAGAGAAATGTATTTTGATTCTCAAGGAACAGTACCAGCTAATCAATGATATTTGCAGAAAGAATTTGAATAATTTAACATGGATTGCTCAGGAAAGAATGTAAAGTAGGTTCAAGTTCCACAATCAAGTAATTTTATTATATGATGAAAAATTCAGTGAGTAGCAGTTCAATAAATCCAAAACTGAATCTATATATATATAACACTTTAAAAATATTTAAAAAAAAAAAAAAAAAAAAAAAAAAAAAAAGAAATATTGATTCAAGACACTGATACCGTATTTTTAATACTGCCCAGAAATTACTGTTGACAATTACAAATATGAATAGATAACATCAATGTAAAGGACTTATTTAAAAAAAAAAAGAGGCATCTTAGAGAATTTTAAAGTTGATTTACTTCAACTTCAATTTCTACTATACTGAAAAACAAAGACCATTTTAATTTCTACTGTCAACTCTTATTATAGTACTAATTGATCAATTGTAGCTTATCAGTCCTTTGTGGGTTATTTAAAGCTGAAACATATTTTGGATCGTAGGAGGTAGCTTACAGTACTTGGTGTTCCCAAGCAGTCTTCCATGCAAATATGTATTGGCTAGGTTCGACACTGCTTAACTTTGTTGATTGAACAAGAACCAGTGTCTTCAAAGTGATTAGACCATAAGCTATTTATAGTTAAATCTATAACTCTTTCATGTAACTTTTTTTATAAATTTAGAAACCGCTTTTGTAATTGGGATTGTTACACCGATTTGTTTGAGTTTGATGTAAGTGTTTGTGAATAAATCCTTTGAAAAGAAAAATTTATACTATCAACAAAGTAAAGATTAGATTTGATTTTTCTTAAACTGTAGTATCTTTATTGCAACATATGCTGAACAGGTTAGGTTTTTGGTGGCTATTCTCACTTTTGTATTCTCTGTAAGTGTGACAAAAAATGCAAAGCAAGATTCAATTACCCTTTTAAAAAATACACATCTCTATTTTTTTAAAATCACATGAAGCCTATATCTACTAATTTTAAGTAATTTCTAAGACATTAATGGATTTAATTTATAATCTGACAGTATTTCTTATTACTTTAGGCATTACGTTTACATGTTTCAGGAGACATACTTGTTTTTTAAACACTGTAAATTTATGGCTGACCATACTATACTGCGCTAGACAGTGGTTCTTCCCTACAAGGTGAACGCATGTTCAAATCCTGCAAGAAGGCACCTTTTCTTTTAAGACTCAAATGCATAGACTTAAATTTACAATATTTAAAAAACAGGGATATCTACTCAAACATGTGTATCCACTAGATATAATATTTAAAGTAACAAGAAGCATTCAAGTTTTGCATCATCATATTTGACCAGTAAGCAGATTCTTACTTTAACCATATATTCTATAATACAGTTAAAATAATTCTGAAAATAAGACAAACTGGTTTAAAAATGACAACAGGAAAAAATTCTTAGTTCTTGCCAACACATTTTGTCTTCCAATTTTATTAAAGCAAGCAATGAAAGCAAAATGTTTTGTAGCCAAGATTTATTGCATATAAAATACAATTGCAGCACATGTACTAAATAGGGTAATGGGTTGAAGCTGGTCATCACTATCTTATACCTAGCTAATCATATTCACGACTCATCCACTTGTTACAATTTGCACATCCACCACAAGAACTTATCCATCATCGTTCAATTCTCCATATAACATAATACCACATACACTCAGGGAACCTACAAAACAAACCCCATGACATAAAAATGTTTTGTAGCCATAGTTACATCAAACCCAAAATTTTTTTTCCAATTGTCATTTCTAAACAAATTCTATAATATATAAAACAATGTAAATTTAACCTGATCTACCCTTTTTCATAATGAAACACTCCAGTGAAAGAAGCAAATATCTCATTACTAAATAGAGGTGGTTAGGTTAGTAAAATATTGCTTTTTTTTTTTTTCATTTTTGTTTTTCTGCATGTTTTCTTTAGATATTTTAATGATTTAAAAAGGTAAAATTTGTTCTTACATGTGACAATAGAGTTAATTGTGTAAATATAAAATCGTATATTACTCATGTTGGAAATATAACCAATGCTATTGCAAAATTACTTAAATACCAACATCTTTATTTGTATGCTATGGCTAATTAAAATCAAATAATGTATGCCAAACTGTGTGTGAGTACACCCATATGTGACAGTAAACCTACAAACAGATTTATAAAAATAGAAAATTACAAAACATGATATTTTGTTTTTATATCTTCATATTTTCACTGAATTGCATTTGGGAAAATTTGATGTTTTAGTTAAAATATTGTTTAACATTTTCCCACACACACACATATATATATATATATATATATATATATATATATATATATATATATATATATATATACACACACAATTAATAAAAATATCAATTTTGTCACTTAGCTGATTGATGTTACCTTCAGCATCCCAACTAACTCTAAAGTTTCATAAACAAACTCTCCAGCAATCACTCCATCCATTCCTCAGGAGATTATGTATAAAGCAATTGCTAAAAAATGAATGCATTTACTTTTAATCCAACATTTGTATTGCTTCAAATGTTAGAAGTAATAAAAATACTAAATTTAATTTATTAAAAATAAATCCATTAATTCTTTAGAAATTGCTTTGTTTATGTTTCACATATGAAACTCATCAGACATGGACTTTCAAGAAAAATATCTTAATGATAAAATGTACTTTCCTTAAAAGGGAAAATAGAGCCTTGTTTAACTGTGACATTCTCCATAGCCAAGCGATAAAGCAGACCAGACAAAATGGTGGTTTCTCCTACAAAAGAGGATGCAAGTTCGATCCATGCCAGAGAGCACATTTTCTTTATTAAGATCTCTTGAATAGAATTTGCAGGCCGATAGATGTAATACACAAAAAATAAAAATAGAGCATCTATTTCAAATACAAGTATCCACTATGGTAATATTTGAAGTTTTATATATGATTAATACAAAAATGTAAACTTTATGTCTTATCTGATTGAGGTTATATTCAAAACCTAAACTCTGGAGTTTCATAGACAAACTTTTGTACACTTGTCAGGAGGTTTCAGCAAAATATATATATATATATAATCTGATTGAATAAATTGCAGACATTATGTCTGCTAATTTTTAACACAATCCATTCATACTCACGAATAACATTCTGTGTATTGATGTTAAAGGATAATCAGCAACACAACTATCCTACACTATGAAAACAACAAATTCAGATTACAAATACTAGAAGTAATTTATATTAAAAAAATCAAAGCCAGCACTGAACAGAATCAACTATGAATACTGCAATAATGTTCTGAAATGCTTGTAAAGGAACAGTGTTTGCATGCTTTAATGCGTGCATGACCATGACATTATAGCATGAAAAAAATTCCATAATTGATAATTTTTTCACATTCTAATGAACACTCAGCACATTGTCAACCATTTTGCATTTAAAAGCATAATGAAAAAATTATGGTAATATATAGCAATGCACAGCTTTGTATAAATACTTGTACTAATGAACAACATAGTTTTGTACTACTTGGAAGAAGACCAAAAGTACTTGGGAAATGAAAATAAAAGGAATTTAAACAGCTATAGCACATTTCTCTCATCCTTTAACATCAATACACAGAAGGTTATTCATGAGTATAAACAGATTTTGTTAAAAATTAGCAGATATAATGTCTGTAATTTATTCAATTAGACATGCCTAAAAGAGAATTTGCTGCCTAAATACACACACAGTCAAACTCATTACATTTGCTTATGTGCTAATACCCTTGAGAAAGGTATTAATCCTCTTTTTCTCCTTCCAGCATGACAGACTGGGTTCTATAGCCTTGAATGGTAACTGGTCTAGGAGAAGGACAACTCTGAATTCAAAACCTGTGGACGGGCATTTGGGGACCTTGTGGCATGTAGTGCAGTAGGTCTGTATTCGGCCCTTCAAAAAGTGTGGTTGGTTCTGCACAAAGCCGTCACCATTATAATCATATCATATGTGCTGGTGTCTGGGTGTCTGTTCCTAGGAACTGATCTACTTGACCATCATACATTGAATATAACGGGAGAGTCCACCATATATATTTCATTAGTTATATATTTAAGGCTTTAAGATTTGAAACTACAGATTTGACTAGAGGGTTTCTTCCTTACGAACTAAGCTATAATCTTCGGGGTTTTTTAAACTAGGAGAATCATAATTTGAGTAAAAGGCATTTGAGTAAAATATCTTTTGAAATGCTTTTAAATACAAATGTACATATAGTTGAGTACTACTGCATTTTAAATGAAAAAGTTCAATTATACCACACAGAAATGTCTTGTACTTTATCAGATATTTATCAGCCTTAACTATAAAGGCTGGTTGAAATATTGGATATATAATGAATAAATGGAGAGGCTGTCACAATAAACTAAGCAAAAGATTAGTACACTGGTTCACAAAAGTTATCATTAAAATAAAAACTATAATAATTTGCATTAAGAAATGTTTCTAAAACTAACGTTTCATGCAGACAAATGGAAATGCCCCGTTTAAACCTGTTATAGAGTAGACAAATAGTGTGCAGCCTGTAAATAATAAAATCCTTAATTGCAGCAGAAATTTCTGTCATAAAATTGCAGTGATAGAAATTCCCATCAGTTACTTAATGGGTTTACTTTTCCCTAGTACTTTTTTGTCTTCTTAAAATCAACTAGTAACAAATGAATGTTATACAAGATGAAAAGAGAGTCATTGACAGAAATATTTATAAAGGTTTTATGCACCATGAATAGTTTCTCTTAAGAAAATCTAAATGCAAACTAAAACCCATATAACAATAACCTCATTATTATTATTATTATTATAGAAGAATGCGTATGAGTGTAAATTTA